AAAAATCTGCGGGGTTTAAAAAAACAATGCCGCCTGGATCATGCACCAATATGCCGGGGGTAAAAAAAAACCGTACGGTTTTTTTCTACCCCGGGCAGGTTGAATAAAAACCAAATGCTCTCAAAATCCCGTTCGGGGGTGAAAAAGAGTCCGGGGTTGAAAAAAACCTTCCCGGGGGTCAAAAAAAACCCAGCCCCCGGTAGGCTGCGACGAAGGAGCTGCCCTCACACATGTTCTCGGTCAGGCGCATGTTGCGGATCGAGGATTCATCGCTGTTGGCTAGGATCTGCAAGAACTGATGATGCTCGGACAAGTCCTTGGCAGGGTAGTGCAGCACTTGCATGGACCAGCGCCCCAGCGCCATTTGTGACTCCAGAAAGGAGGTGCCATCGGCCTGGTTGGCAGGATGGTTCAGCGCCGCCACCATCAGCAGCAGAGTGGCGAGAATTCTGCTGACTACCGGTGGCGACTAGCTGGAACCCGACAGCATCAAGATTGCCTTCCGCTTCATCAACAACGATGCCACGAACGATTTCAACCCCGTCATGGGCCATCCAGCGTGCTTGATCAAGCAGTTCAGCTGTTTGCAAACGGCCAAAAGAACTGATGACATCGACAACTACGCAAGATCCGCGCACTTGTAGAGATCGAATGGGCGGATCCCGTGAGAGTGTTGGCTAGCCAAGTTACCTTGGACAGCGCTTGGTAGAATCCTTCATCGCGTTCTACTGTCCGGTCGCAGCCTGGTCTTTAGCTATCCGGCGGTCCACACACAGCTGACCTCGATTCCAGCAGGCTTCACGTTCCCCATGCAGGAGCAGTGGTATGGGCTATCATGATTGCTATCGAAAAAGTTGTGGTTTGAGTAACCGCTGTGAACATGATTGCAACAATGCTGCAGGTGCTCCTTTTGCCAGCTTTGTTTTTTCCTGATATGTTTATCACTGGTATCTTCGTCACGATAGTGCGTACAAGTTTGCCCATGGTAACCTACCTCGTTCATATAATTCTCAGTATTTTTGCGACGTCACAACTGCAGGCAGGTGGTACGTGTGACCATTGCCAAATGTGGATGCAACTACAACCGTGCAACAAAGTTGTTCCCCCACGCATCGGTGCAAGCCGTGTAAAAAAGATGTTGTGCGCTTCTGTCATGAGTGAATGGAAAAATATTCGATTGCCCAAATATTTCGTGGGACTCAATTTGTACGTACTGCCTGATTGTTTTGCCATGCAACATACTTTGGAAATAAGCCACCCTTCAATCGTGATTGACAGGGCATTATTTCCAAAGTGTGTTTTCACGATTTGAAAATTCCTTGAATTTTCATGTGTGGCAAAACATTTTGTTGGCATGTCCATGCTACGCAGTTTTGAGTCCATGGGTGTTGTTTCATGTTCTTATGCATTCAAACATTGTGGTAAGCATGGAAAGTCCGCGGTTGCTCGTTTATTCTCAAGTGGCTGGGCGCCACAAAACTTTGTTTACCCGCCCAGCCCACCCTGGTGCCAGTCACGCATGATTGGCTACGGTTGTGAAGTGCCGGTTTTCCTTGTGGAAAACATTACTTCAGTTCAGAAGGGGGGGGTGTCATTCACGCGTTTGTGCGACGTCACAAATGCAGGCAGATGGTACGTGTGACCATTGCCAAATGTGGATGCAACGACAACCGTGCAACAAAGTTGTCCCCCACGCATCGGTGCAAGCCGTGTAAAAAAGATGTTGTGCGCTTCTGTCATGAGTGAATGGAAAAATATTCGATTGCCCAAATATTTCGTGGGACTCAATTTGTACGTACTGCCTGATTGTTTTGCCATGTAACATACTTTGGAAATAAGGAATAGGTGCCCATGGTGAGAACAATATGGAGCAGTCTTTGGTTCGAGTACGTGACACAGGTGTGGCATTCCTTGGTGAAGACAACATGGAGGCGTTTGTGAACTTGGTACGTGACGTAGGTTTGGTACTGCTCGGCATCTGCGTCGGCACGTTCATGTGGTTCACGCGGGGGAAGGTTTCAAGGTCCCTACAACAAACGCAACCTGAACAGGCGCCTCAAGCAGAACCAGAAGCAGCAGGACCACAACAACAACATGAAGCAGCTGGAGAACCACAACATCAGCAACCTGAAGAAGCAGGAGCACCACAACAACAACCTCAAGGAGTAGGAGGAAGACCTGGAGGGCAAGAAGGTTTTGGAACCCCAGAACAAATTGAAGAGCGTTTACGTGCGTGGATGAGACAACTTTGAGGCCCCCTTTCGTCAAGCCGAACAACGTCATCAGGAAAAAGTTGATCAACGGCTAAGAGAACAAGCTGAGCAACGTTGACAAGAGCATGCTGAGCACGGAGAACAAATTCTTGCAGCACTTCGTCAAGAAGCTCAGGCTGCTGAGTTTATGCGATGTGTTGTGGCAGACAGAGTTTGGTCAAGGTCACACGGACAGGTGTGTGCTATCATGCGGCTACATGCCTACGATTGAGGAGGCGCGCCGCAAACCAGTTGGAAAGAATTACCTGTGGAGAAGCAATCGCTCGAGGACTCCGTGGATGTGATCAATGCCATACTTAAGTTTGTCTCCTGAAAAGAGTGAAGCTGTGTACATATCTACAGTTGTACAAAGCAAGCAGTAACTGCAGGAGAAGTTGGCCTACACGAGTCTGAGGACGTGACGGTCCAGGCAAGTTTCACTCAGCTAAGTAATGCCAAGCACCACAAGATGGTGCAGAAGATGAACAAGAACGTCAACAAAAGAGGAAGGTAGGAGTTAGAAGTTTGTACAGTTTGGAAATCCGGAAAGGATTGACTGATCCTAATACGGATTGGTGGACACTGGTACAGAAACCTTGAATCAGTTTGAATCTGTGGTGTAGCTTCGGAGTCGAAAGGATATCACGTGGCTACACCAAGGCGTGAGCATGTGTTGATACCTGAGCCCAATGTGTTGTGTAGGTTGATTGGTGTGTGCAAGCAAGTACAGTTGCATGCATTTTGTCAGCACAGTCAAGCTGAAGAACAACTTGGAACAAAGTGCCCAACACAAACCGTGTTGGCTTAAGCCGCATTTGAAGTGCGAAAACAAACGTGAATACAGCTGACCTGCTGACGAAGTCGCTAGCAGCCGAATCGGCTGAACAACACCTGAAGCGAAGGGGTCTGGAAGTAGTCTCTGGTAGAAATTATATAGCAAAAGCTGTACACTGTACACTGTAGCTTCATTCGTTTTGTACAATGTCCAGTGTGCACGTCGCGATACCACTCCGCCCAGGAGGGGTGATTCCGGACACGCGTCTTCCTACATGGGATGGTACATATGTGTCATGTGCACGGTACTTTTGGCTCAAGTAGAATAGGAGCGTTGCTATTATTAAAATCACGTAGGCAAGTTGAGGCATACCTCTGCAAAGCTATTGTGGTTACGACATCATGTTGTTTCAGGCCAGATCTGGGTTGTGCCAGTCAAATGCAACCCTGCCGAGATTGCCGCGAATAGTTTCCAGCCAGGATCATATATATTTTTTTGGTTTGTTGAAGAAAAGGAATGCAGACAATAGTTTTTGTGCTCTGGAGAAGCTGAAGCAGCCGTGATTGAACGTGGCCATGCTGTTAGAACGGCGTGCCGTGATGCTGCAGTTTCGCAAAGCGTGCTCAGCCAAGATTCTTTCCATAGTCTTGTGTGCGTGGCAAGCGTCAGGTGCCCTAGGTGCAGATGACCAAGATGCTCAGCGAGGATTTTAGACTTTGCTAGCACCAAGATACCCTGTTTTCCACACGTGGTGCAGACCAGTTGTGCAAGCTGAGACGTCGCCGTGACACGAAGGCTCTTGAGTGAAAAGGACTGTGTAGTGTTTTGCGTACTCTGTTGCAGACACTC